AAAGGAAAAACGCGTGGTTGAATTTTCCTCCTTGCTCCTAGTATATTCTTGCCTCCAACTGTGTTGTGTAACCCTAAAGTAGTGTCTTCTCCTCCAAAGTTATATTTTAGGATGTATTTATATGACCTAGGTGGGGTGGAGGGCCATCCAAGGCAATCCAAAATCGGATTGGAGAACTGGAGGGCGTGTCTGCCTTCGTGCAGCGCGCGACCATAGACGCAGACTTAGCTTTTGTAATTTTTCGGTTCGGAAGCGATCAGTGCCTTCGCTTCGTTCGCTGTTTGGTGCCTTCATTTTTCTCCTTTTTCTCATTCATTTTCCTGCCACGCACGAAATTGGACTAGCTCCCAATTCTTTTTACCTCTTCCTTTTGAGTTGAATTGTCATCGTTTGATCATTTATCATCCAAACTCGTTCCTCCACATAAGAAACACATAATGAGCATATTTCACTTCATAAACCATGTAATCTCCCTCGCGACTCACACAAGAATTAATATACAAATATACTCAAAAATATGCACTTTTCATCATTTATCACCACCCCACACTTAAACTCTTGCTCGTCCTCGAGCAACTTAAAATTAAGCGCATAGGCAAGAGATACCTTTCAAAATATGCTCAAGCATCACACCAATGACAATGATTTTTATCAATGCTTAGAACCTAACATATACACTCTTCATACATTCCTCAAGTTCTAAACTCATGCCAAGATTATTTAAAATATTTGTATGACTCATCTAACATCCTAACCTCAAAAATTGACTCCACTACATTCCTCTTTGTGACTCACTTCTTGTGCAAACTAAAGATACGAGTTCCTTATCAATCCGTTGTAAAGCATGTGCCCTCACCAACAAAACAAAGAGAGTAATCAGTCTCCACACTCAAATATGAATTCAAATATAATTTAAGGACTCACAAAATGAAAGAATTCACTCACTCTCGCAAAGAAACTCATGTGCCCCAAAGCTCGTACCATAGGCTTGCCCGAAATATAAATCTCTACTAGTTTAAGCTCACAAAGTCTAGGATCAATTAGGTCTTTATGGGTTGTAATGTAGGCTAACTGATAGGTAGGATAGATATGGATAATAGTGACTAACCCTCCTAAGCACTTTTAATACAATACGTTCTAATGTTTAAGCACATCCTCTTCATGATCACTCAACATATCGCTACGACACCGTAAATAACATAACCCATTGACTTTAAGCATATCTGCATATGCATTAGCACATATCAAAGTGAATTGGAGGGATTTATATATATATATATATATAAATCTTTTCAACACCCTCCATAAATTGGTATTTTCAGCTAGTAGCTCTCTCTATTCATATATGCACCTTTTGGCATGTCTATGGTTCCACTCAAACTACCCAATCTTTTTTCCTTCACTTCTAGCGACATAAGTGCTTTTGGAGGTAAAGGTTCAACAAGATTTAATTAAGAACAAAAGGGATTCGTCTTGTAATGTGAGTACTAAAGAAAAGGTTTACAGGCTCAAACGGGCTAACAAAGGATAATATTTATCACTGGTAGGCAAATAGACTGAAGGGTCAATCAAAGAAACTCCTATATCATTTCCTAAACTCACAAGACTTAATCATTTCGCTTCGAGTCATACACGGGGCAAGTACTAGATTAACAAGGGATGACACAGAGCACAACCAAAATCTCACCTCACACAATGCACATGGCTTATTCAGGATGGCTCTGACTCGACTCTCAAGTTAAAGCAATTAGCACAGTCATAATATAATTCAATCACATAGGATGTACATAATAGGAGTCAAAAGACGAGCCCAAGTGTCAGAATAAGTCACATATACTCTCAAGGCATATAGTCACAAGGCTCAAGAAGAAAGTACTCAGCACAAATGCTCCAGCTCTAAGCCCCAACATAAAACATGTCAAAAAACATAGTTACTCAAGTTCTTCCAATTCCATTATCAATGAGAAAAAACAATAATTTTATTTTTATTTTTCTTTGGCCTTTAAACCCTCAAGAAAAATTTCTAGGAGGTCCATCGTCGGGAAAAGTCCAAATTTTATTTTTGAGAATTTCACCTACAAGGAAAAAAAATTACTACCCCGTTCAAAGAGTCATCCCTTGAAAAAGAATCGTGGCTATAAGAAAAACCAAGAGTGATTATTTCTACCTAATTTTATTTATTTATTTAATTTTTGATTTTTTTTCCAACACACATAAAATAATACAACTAAAATAGCATAGAAAATCACCCAAATAGTCTCTTCACCACATACTTAATATTGTGTATTGGTTCCAATGCACACTCATAAATATAAGAGGGTAAAAGAAACTCCATGGTAGGCCAAAGGCCGAAGCATTAGCAGCTCATGTGGTACTCAGACTTCTCCCAGACTTGGTTCTTTGTACGGGCACCCCACACTTAGTTCTAACCATCTCACTTGCTTTTGCTTTCTTCTATTGGCTTTGCTTCCCAGCTCCTAGAAAATAAAAAATGACACTAAAAAATAATACAATAAGATAATACAAAAAAATTAAAAATAAAAGAAAGCAGTAAAGCTGGGTTGCCTACCAACATGCGCTTGATTTAACGTCGCGGCACAACGCGAATCACTTTTTACCTCCAGCTTGAGCATATGGATTGAACTCCAAGTTTTGATTCAAGATTATGATTATGCGCTTAGGGTGGTACAAATTTTTTCGAGCCAAAGTTTAAATAAATTTTCATGCGCTTTTTGGCTCTAGACCGAGGATTGTCACCTTGCCTAGATGGCTTTGAAAATTTCAAAATACAAGGTTCATCGACCTCTGCCCTTGACTCGTTTTTATGCTCATAAGGATCAATTTTCATTTCATCATCTGAACATAATGTAGAGAAGTGTTTGGAATGAGGTCTAACGCGCTCAAATACATGAACCTTAAGATTTTTGACCTCCTCTACATCAATCATACTAGAGTCAACTAAATTTGTACCTTTAGTTTCTTGGCTGGCTCTAGTATTACTTCTTCAACATCGTCATCCTCAAATTTTAGTTGTGTCACACCTCCTTTTTTCGAAAAATCGGGGTTTTTTTCCAATTAAAGTGACATTATTCAAAATGAGATTATTTATTAAATTAGAGTCGCTACTTGGGATAATTATTATGATGTCCCAAGTCACCGGTTTATTTTAAAATTCCAAATCAAGGAAATTGACTCTATTTATGATCCGCGAACACAGAAGACCAGATAAGAAATTTTGTTAACCCGGGAGAAGGTGTTAGGCGCTCCCGAATTTCATAATTTTAGCATGGTCGCTTTAGTCATACCTGACTTAGTTATTTGTTTAATTTTGTATTTTTTAGAACCTATTTGTATTTACTTCTTAACCGCTTTTAATTATGGCATATGGATTTATCTTTGAAATGGATCACATGTGTGTAAATTCGTTTTATTTAGTATGCTAAAATCATGTCATGCGTATGTGTACACAATTAATCACGCTTTATTATTATTAAGATTGTTTGGCTAAAGTCGCGCGAACGCATACTTTGATTTATTCCAAATCTAATTTGTCTTATGTGCAAAGCTACATCTACTTCTAGTTAGACTATACGACCCATTATATCAAGACATCTCATATGACCCACTTGAATAAAACCAATAAAATAGTCAAGCCCAAATCAATTTATTTACACTAACTAATTCATCACTCAAAACAAAACTAATTAATCTTCGGATCAACATTAAATATTAATAATGGTGAGACATACAACAATATGACAAAATAAAGGCAACAAGAAGGAAGCCAATGGGGCAAATTAAGGCCACACATATTTGATAGCTGAATGAAGTAACAAACTTTAAAAATAAAAATGCAAAAAACAACAAAGGAAATGAACCTTTTCTTTATTAGCTTTCAATATTCGCAAGAGCCTCCGGTCAACATACAAGGAAAGGCACGCCACAAAGCTAAAAGAAAACAGAGCTTCAAAAATCTCAAATGAGCTTATCAATCAGAATCTTGGACTGGAATCGACGACCTCGAACGGGTTCAAATCGAACTCGCTCCGAAAATTCTCAAATGAGCTTTTCAGTTTTTGGAGATGGTAGGCTAGTCTATAGGACTATTTTGTAGCTGTATTTTGTGGAGTTCATGGCTGGATCTTTCCGGAGTTTAGAGGAGATTCATGATTAAGTTTGGGGCTGGTTTTGAGGCATTTTGGAGTCGGTTTTGGCAGGGAATTTGAGGTCATTTTGGAGCTGCATTTTGGACGATTTTGAGGCTGTTTTTGGGTGGTTTTTGGCTAGTTATATTCAGCAATTTTGGGGCTGATTGAAGCTATTGTTTAGCTGATTTTTGTGGGGGGAAAACAATTGGGTTTGGATGAGTTTAATCAATGGAAAGGCTGAAAATTGGTGCGGGGATTTTAAGGTTGGTTCTTCAGTGGTTATTTGCAGTATTTTAATGGAGTTTATGTGGGTTTATGGTGGCTTGGGGAAGAAGAAGGCAGCGCTAGTTTTTTTTTTTTTTTTTTTTTTTTTTTTTTTTTTTTTGTGTTTTTTTATGTGGGAAAGATATATAGGTGTAGTTATAGGGATTAATTAGTGGCCAAGAAAAAAGAGCGTACATGTGCATGTGAGTTTGTTATAAAAAATATAGAAGAATCTTGCTAATTGGCATTTTTGCACTGGTTCTTTTTTTTCTTCCTTTTTCTATTTATTAAAAATAATCTAAATTAAAGATACTAAACTAAAACTAAAAACTAGAAAAATATAAGAAACTATTAAGGAAAAGGTTATAAAATTGCTAGTCTTACCAAAATTTAGGGGTGTTCAAAACCGATCCGAAATCGAAAACCGATCCGAAACCGAAGCTTAATGGATTATTGGTATCGGGTTAACGATAACGGACGGGGATAGATTGAATTCTTTTTATTAACGGATTATCGGCTTGGGGCGGATTATTCAATTTTCTTAATGTCTAATCCGTTAACCCGTTAAGATATATATATATNAGAAACCCTAACGCCCTTCTCGTCGACTTCCAGCAGTCCACCACCAGCAGGTATCTGTGTTTTTTACCTTGCAATTCATACATTTTCGCTCGATGTGCAGTGCTCTGAATCGATTTTATGCAGTGAATCAGTGTTTAATTAATGGAACATTCCCTTGTCATATGACTGAGTTTAAGCCGTTTTTGATTGCTAATGTAACATTGCCATCACCTTGGGTTAAAGTTCCATAGTACTTCTAGGAAGAACCGGATTCAAGTACATAGATGCAGTAAACAGTGCACCCATTGTACCTTTATGGATGTGGCGTTAATTATATATTTCAATGTAAAGGAACAAACAAAAGGGGAAAAGGAGGAAGAAAGGTTAAGATTTCTCAATGTCAAATTGTTGTGTCTTGTAATGTCGATATGAATATTGTGTTATATATCCCTAATTGATAGATTTTAGAAAGAAAATGTGGTAGACATTATTTGTTGTATATAAGTGTTGTTGATATGCTTATATTTATCGCACGACTCATTGTTTTAATTTTTTTCTTCAGATTTAGCCAGCAATGGAAAAGAGCCTTCCGTAATTGACGTGTAGTGTTAATATATTTTGTAAGAATTCGAATTTGACCCATCAAGGCTTCAAGTATTTGTTGTATATAAGCTTTAATCGAACTAACAGTGGGAAGCACTAGAATTAGCACATGACTTTAATATTTTGATAGCTAAATGTGATCAGCTTAATGTACATAGGATGACATGATAGCTCCTGCTTGCTGCTGTGTTGTAGATTTTACTGAAACTAAAGCTGCATTCGCCTTTCTATAATGGTCTCTGTGATAAAGAAAACATTAAATCAACTAGTAGTGCAATCAATGTTGTGCCAACCAAGCATTTACTTAGCAGGATGCCCTCATGTTTCCTGTTGAAATTGAGTTCTTGATTCTTAAAGTTAAATACTAGTGCTTGTGTGTTTCTTAATTCCTCCATGCTCCGAGAGATGCTTTCAGCTTTATCAATGGAGTTCTTCTTTTTCAAAATTTATACTTTTCTTGTATTCTCAAGAATTTGTTTTGCACTTCTAATGTGCAATGTCCAGGCAGTCATAAGGGTACCTTCTAATAAGTCTATACCAGCATTGATAGTTTTTGGAGACTCTATTGTTGATACCGGTAACAATAATGGCCTCAAAACAATAGGGAAGGTTAATTATCCTCCTTATGGAAAGGATTTCATAGGGGGACAACCAACTGGAAGGTTTTCTAATGGAAAAATTCCACCAGACTTATTGGTAAGAAGAGTTTGACATATAAGCATTTTGAGTATTGTCTTATCGACAATAACATTAGAGAATAGTCCTTAGTCTTTCTCTTTATTTCAGTGGAAGAACTGGGAATAAAAGATCTTTTACCAGCATATCTTGATCCAACTTTACAACCAGTAGACCTCATCACTGGAGTTCAGATTTAATGACAGATTAGTGTGAAATTGGAAGCTACTGTGGATTCTGCAGTCTTTTTTTTGTGATGTCTCTATGAATTTGCAGCTGGTGTTCACAGGTGGTATAAGAAGTGAATACAATATTGTACTTTGGTGTCTGTAGTTAAAGAAATCGCATCTGGAACTATGTTTGTGTTAATATAGATTCATTTATGTTTTAGTATTTACAAATAACAAATATGACCAAATGGTCCAAATGCTAGATTCATTTATGTGCAAAGTGCAAGTAATTGTTCATATAGCTGTTCAAAAACTATTTTTTTTAATATAGGTTTTTAATCCTGATGATTTCTCTTGTGTTTTCATGTAATTGAAATATGAGAAGAAGTAGATATGGAACTGGACAATGTGGCGCAGGAACAGTTGTAGAAAATAAATGTGTACAATTTTAAAATGGACAGTGTTCATTTTAATACTCTGCTTTGGGTTTGGGATGTACTGTAGCGTACATTTTACAAATGTGTTCTGCTTTTTCACTCATTCTTATGTAGGCAGTAGTTTCGATTTTGGTATGTAGACTCGATGTGTAATTTCGATTTATGAATTTGTAAGCTATGTTGTTAGCAAACAATTAATGCATGCAATATAGGTTGAATTAGGCTGATAAACCGTTCGATAACCGCCTGATAAGAGATAAACCGATATCAATCCGCCCGATATTTTATCGGGTGGCTAGCGGATTAATACATTTAAAAGCCGATAACCGATAAGTCAAACCGTTAAGAGTAAATAACCGCCCAATCCGCCCGATAAGCAGCCCTACCAAAATTAGAAGGAAAAGCTTTTTTGGTAAAAAAAATTTCTTTTGCAAATGAGATACATCTATAATCTAAAAGTGTATTTTCTTTTGTAGTTTTAATTTTATTAAATAAACCTACAAAAAAGTGAAATAAAGGCTAAAATATCAAGATTAAATTTAACAAATATTTACATACTAAAAAAGCAAAGAAAAATTCAAATATAGTCAAAAATTAGGTGCTCACAGCTGCCCCTCTTTGTTTGAAAACATGAAGAGTTTTCAGGCAAAGCCAAAGTGAGCCGTGTGACTAATTTTTGATCAAATCTTTATTCAAAAAGGAATATAAACAAAGGAAAGGGTGCAACCGAGTCCTGATTTTAGACAACTTACATATCCCGAGCCATAAGGGAATCAAGTCGCGTGTTGTTCAAAGAGAACGATGGAATGATGAGTTCGAGAGTCGAGTGAGATTCTGTCGAGGCTCCGGTCCATGGTCCTGTTATTACATCAAAATCTAAAGGAACTAAACACGCCTATTAGCTATGAGTTATAAGATTTCTATCTATAAGTCTTCTGAAGCTTGACCTTGAGTCATGAATGGTCCTTCGTGCAGACTTTTGATTTGAACATTGATATTTGATAGCTGTAGGTGCTAGTTCATTCTTCTGCGGCTTCTTCTGATAAAAATCGGGAATGCAGTGCTCGTGACTTCAGTCATGTCTTGAGCATATCACATCTTTCATCTGTTTCTGCATTTTGGATTCACTTCTTTTTTTTCTTTTACTCTGAATTGAGACTTATTCTTTTGGTCATCTCGAACCTTGTGCCTCGAGGTAAAACCCGCTCAGACACCAAAACAAGAAAATAGACAAAAAATTTCTACCCTAGTTTTCACTAGAAAAATTTCATGAGTTATTGTAACAAAAATTTTCTACTTCTTTATTGAAAGCAATAAAAGGTCGGGAATGGTGTACCCTGAAAAGATCATGATGATTTTTTTAATGGTATTCCTTTATTATCAAAAAGATGTCTCAACAAGTATTGGTGTATCTAATGTTGGAAAAATATGGCAAAGGAATGGTATACCCTATATTGGCAATGATATCAGAGAGTGGTGTACCCTGCATTTAAGATCAAATCAACTAGGGAATAGTGTATCCTATGTTGGAAAACACAGCTAGGGATTGGTGTACCCTATACTGGTAAGGAGGGAGTGGTGCACCCTGGATTTAAGCTCACATCAACTAGGGAGTGAAGACCCTATGTTGGAAAAGGTTGACTAGGGAGTGGAGACCCTATGTCTAAAATAAAATCAACTAGGGAGTGGAGACCCTATGTCTAAAATAAAATTAACTAGGGAGTGAAGACCCTATGTTGGAAAATGAGAATAGGGAGTGAAGATCCTATGTCTAAAATAAAATCAACTTGGGAGTGGAAACTCTATGTTGAAAAATGCAGCTAGGGAAAGATGTATTGTATGCTAACATACGACTAATTTTTTGATTTATTTTAAATCAAAAATATTTTTTTAAAATAAATTGCCCCAACGCTTATTTTCTGAGGGCATGAACAAACGATTTTTTTTCAAACCATACTTCTTCTTTTTTTTAAATTATCCTAGGCGAAAATTCATCATATTAGGTTTTCTTATCTTAGGAGAAAGATTCATCAAAAAAAGACGTTTATCTTAGGAGAAAGATTCATCTGATTAGTTTTTCTTGTTATCTTAAGAGAAAGAATCATCAGACTAAGATTTATTTATCTTAGGAGAAAGATTCATCAGACCAAGACATTTATCTTATGAGAAAATTCATCAGATTAGGGCTTCTTATCTTAGGAGAAAGATTCATCAAACTAAGATTTCTATCCTAGGAGAAAGATTCATCAGACTAGGTTTTCTTATCTTAGGAGAAAGATTCATCAAACTAAGATTTCTATCCTAGGAGAAAGATTCATCAGACTAGATTTTCTTATCTTATGAGAAACATTCATTAGATTAAGATTTCTATCCTAGGAGAAAGATTCATCAGACTAGGTTTTCTTATCTTAGGAGAAAGATTCATCAGACTAAGACGTTTATCTTAGGAGAAATATTCATCAGACTAGGTTTTCTTGTCTTAGGAGAAAGATTCATCAGACTAAGATTTCTATATTTTTAGTCTTGGAGAATGTCATCAGACTAGGATTTTTTTTATTATCTTAGGAGAAAGATTAATCAGAGAAAAAAATTTATCCTAGAAGAATATTCATCAGACTAAGATTTCTATCCTAGGAGAAAGATTCATCAGACTAAGATTTCTATCTTAGAAGAAAATTCATCAGACTAGGTTTTCTTATCTTATGAGAAAGATTCATCAGACTAGGATATATATCTTAGGAGAAAGATTCATCAGACTAGGTCTTTTTATCTTAGGAGAAAATTCATCAGACTAAGATTTTTATCCTAGGAGAAAAATTCATCAGACTAAAATTTCTATCATAGAAAGTTCATTAGACTAGGGCATTTTATCTTAGGAGAAAGATTCATCAGACTAAGATTTTTTTATCTTAGGAGAATGAATCATCAGACTAAGATTTTTGCTAGAAGGAAAGATCCATCAGACTAGGATGCAATACCCTAGGAGGAAAATGTGAAGAGAAATGACATGATTTTATGCATATTCAAAAGATAAATAAAGGCAAAGATTTGAAAATCTTTCCTTTGTCAGCTCTTTTCTTCTTTTCTTTTCTTTTCTTTTTCTTTTCTTTTCTTTTCTTTTTTCCTTTTCCCCTTTTTTTCCTTTTTTTAAAAAAATTACCTTCCTTGCACTGCTTTGTCCCTGTTTTAAACAAAGAAAATTTTATCAGTTTCAAAAAGTTGTGGCCTTGATATCTTTGGCAGCTTGGCCTTGTGCCCATTCGCTTCTAAAAGACTGACTGTATTGGTAGTTGGCTACACTTCTAGGAGACTATTTTTTCTTTCAAGAGATTTTTGCTCTTCGTATCAAACTTGATTGTTTCACTCCCAGTCCCATTTTGTGTTTGTGGCTCAATCAACCTTATCTCAAAAAAGAGATTTCTTTTCTTGGATAACTTTTTATGATATCTTGAATGGCTTTTGCTTTTGGAGCAATTTGTCTATTAGAGAGAATAGCAATTGGTAAGTGCCTTTTGCATGATGTGCACACTTCATAGCCCTTGTTTAGTACTACAGAGAATTCCCGATTAACCTTGAGGTTATCTTTGCTTGTTTTAGCCAAGTAGGCTAATAAAAGTCATTTGAGGGGGAAGCATTTGCATGAATCCTCAAGGCGTGTTGACTGTAACAACTGAGTGTGCTGACCAAATTTACTTTGTACAACTGAAAAACTGGTAGCAGATTTTAAAATCTTTTCTTGCTTGTTTTGACAAAGACTGACTCAGAATGAAAGACACAATAATGCAAAGAAACAATATTAACAAGAAATGACCCTGTCGGGAAGGACAGAAGGAAGAGTTTTTTTTTTGCGCTAACTAGCCTTAATGATCATGACATGCATTTTGGACTAAATGGCCTGATCTATCAAACTGCTTGAATCTTTCCTTTTACCATTCTTATGACCTTTGAAGACGGGTTTGGTTGTGCCAATTCTTTGCATCAGCTTTACGATTCACTTTCAGCTAGTTGTGCCCCGAGGGATTTTCACCAACAAGTCTCTCCCATTTATTTATCTCTACTTACTGTCTCCTTACACTACTCGTGAGAATTTACACTAGTAAGACTCTCTCATTTTTTCTTTTTCTTTTTCTTTCCTTTTTTTGGCTTTCTTTTGTGAGCAACTTGACAATGTTCGATCTCGTATGACAACTATTGCTCATTGCATGCGTCTTTTGGCATTCCTGAAGGCGGATTAGGAGGTCTTTATTTGGAAGGTTTTTGAAAGGGTTGGAAAGAAAGGATGACATGTAAGCTCAAGGTAGACTCAAAATGAGGGGGTTATAGACTTACAACTCTTGGAATCGACTCTTTCAAACGTAAAATAAAATTTTTGCCCCAGTTTCAGATACTGGAGATTTTTTTTTTGAATTCTTATTTGGTTGGACCGAACCATGTAAGGCTGCCTACGTATCCTTTTTAAAGGAATCAGGTCAAACGTAGTTCAAACATTTGATGTAACTATTTTGTTTTTCATCTTTCTTTCTTTTTCTTTTTCTTTTTTGCTTTTTTCTCATTTTTTCTTTCTTTCCCTTTTTTTCTTTTTGTTTTCAAAACAAGTTGCCCCAACTTTTATTTTCTGGGGACATAGATCTTTGACCTATTCTTTTCTTTCTTTTTTTTACTTGAACTTTCTAAGAGTTGTCCCAGTTTGTACTCTTGGGGCGTGGACCTTTTTCCTTTTTTTTTGGACTTTTGACTCTAGACTTGATTCCAAGAGAGGGGGATTAAAATAAAATGACATCGGCTCAAAAGGAGTAACGAATGATATAAAATGTTTAGGTAGAAAAAAAGGGCCTCCCCGCCTCGAGAACGCCAAACATA